CCCAGTCCCTTCACCATGACCAACTGTGAACTGAAACTGATCACCTGAACAGTGAGAAGAATCAATATCATCAAAATGTCCATCTCCCAAAAGCAATTTACAGATTCAATACAATACCAATCAAGATACCGAAGACCTTCTTCTCAGATCTGGAAAAAATGGTGCTGAAATTTATATGGAGGCACAAGAGACCTCGAATAGCTAAAGCAATCTTGTACAACAAAAACAAAGCCGGAGGCATCACAATACCAGATTTCAGGACATACTACAGGGCAGTTGTAATTAAAACAGCATGGTACTGGTACAGAAACAGATGGATAGACCAATGGAACAGAATTGAAACACCAGAAATCAACCCAAACATCTACAGCCAACTTATATTTGATCAAGGATCTAAAACTAATTCCTGGAGCAAGGACAGTCTATTCAATAAATGGTGCTGGGAAAATTGGATTTCCACATGCAGAATCATGAAGCAAGACCCCTACCTTACACCTTACACAAAAATCCACTCCACATGGATTAAAGACCTAAATCTACGACCTGACACCATCAAGTTACTAGAGAACATTGGAGAAACCCTTCAAGATATTGGCACAGGCAAAGAATTTCTGGAAAAGACCCGGGAGGCACAGGCAGTCAAAGCCAAAATCAACTATTGGGATTGCATCAAATTGAGAAGTTTCTGTACTGCAAAAGAAACAGTGAGGAGAGTGAAAAGACAACCGACAGAATGGGAAAAAATATTTGCAAACTATGCAACAGACAAAGGGTTAATAACCAGAATCTACAAAGAGATCAAGAAACTCCACAAAAACAAAACCAACAACCCACTTAAGAGATGGGCCAAGGACCTCAATAGACATTTTTCAAAAGAGGAAATCCAAATGGCCAACAGGCACATGAAAAAATGTTCAAGGTCATTAGCAATCAGGGAAATGCAAATCAAAACCACAATGAGGTTTCACCTCACCCCGGTTAGAATGGCTCACATACAGAAATCTACCAACAACAGATGCTGGCGAGGATGTGGGGAAAAAGGGACACTAACCCACTGTTGGTGGGAATGCAAACTGGTCAAGCCACTATGGAAGTCAGTCTGGAGATTCCTCAGAAACCTGAAGATAACCCTACCGTTCGACCCAGCCATCCCACTCCTTGGAATTTACCCAAAGGAATTTAAATTGGCAAACAAAAAAGAGGTCTGCACCCTAATGTTTATTGCAGCTCAATTCACAATAGCTAAGACCTGGAACCAACCTAAATGCCCATCAACGATAGACTGGATAAAGAAATTATGGGATATGTACTCGTTAGAATACTATACCGCAGTAAGAAACAACGAAATCCAGTCATTTGCAACAAAATGGAGGAATCTGGAACACATCATGCTGAGTGAAATAAGCCAGTCCCAAAGGGACAAATACCATATGTTCTCCCTGATCGGTGACGACTGACTGAACACCAAGAGGGAAACCTGTTGGAGTGAGGTGGACACCATGGGAAATGGTGGCTTGATCAGCATAGCCCTGACTGTTAATGAACAACTAAATACATTATCCCTCTTAGTAGTTTTTTTTATCTGTTCTACTTAATATGACTGGTTTAGATCTGTAATTGATGCACAGTTATTCTTAAGTGTTGAAAATTAACTGAAATGTGATCCCTGTTGAACATGGTGGTGGGAATGGGAGAGGGAAGAGATGTATAATTTGGGAGATTGATATTATTTTTTGAGAAATTAAAACATGTAATATGCTTCAATGGCCTTTTCATTTCTAGATTAAAAACATGATAATAACTTTTGTTTTTTTAAATATATCATAATGTCTATACTGGAAAAATCTATTCCTTTTCTTCTACCCTGTGAATGATAGGTCTCAAACTGATGGTACAACTTCTCAACAAAATGTTCTGTTGCCCAAGACACCATTAATTACATTAGTCACTTCTACTGAGCTAAGAGGAAAGGATATTTCACATCATGTCCCCACTAAGATCGTCATCAGATTTCTCATTAGAAACCCTGGAGGACCAGAAGGCAGTGGGGCTGAAATAGTCCAGGTATAGAGGAGCAAATAAGTGTCAGCATGAGAAAGCTACGTCCTCTAAAATTTAGGGATAAATTGATGCATTTCCATATGTCTTAGGTTTTCAGGCTACTATAACAAAACATCTTGACCTGGGTAATTGGAAAAGAACAGAAGTTTATTTCTCAGTGGTCTGGAGGCTGGTCAGTCTAAGATCAAGGCATCTGCAGACTTGATGTCTCTAAGAGCTTACTCCCTGCTTCCAAGAAGAAATATAAAAAGTAAGAAGATTGAAAGGTTGGTGGCCTGGTACGGTCAGTTGAAGCTATGTATATCTGCTGAAAATTGCTCTGCAGCCTTTAAAAATGTGCAAGCACTACATCTTAATCTAAAACTCAAAAGTAAATTTTAAGAAAGACAGTGTTTTCTTGGGATATCCACAAATGGTGGAAATAAATAGTTCATCCCCTTCACGCCCTTTTAGAGAGTTAACCATTGAGACTCACTGCATTGTGTCATAGCAGTTAAGCTGTCACCTGTGATACCAGCATCACACATGAGCCATACTTGGGAGTCCTGGATGCTCCACCTCCCAGTCATCTCCTGTTAAAATGCCTGGGAAAACAGCAGAAGGTGACCCAAGCACCTGGACATCTGCCACCCAAATGGGAGACCTGGATAGAGTTCCTGACTCCTGATTTCAGCCTGTCCCAGCTCTGACAGTTGTAGTCAGTTGGTGAGTGATACAACAGATGGAATATCTTTCTGTCTGGAACTCTGCTCTTCAAATAAATAAATCTTTAAAAATGTTTTTCTAATATGTGTATGTAAAAATAGAAACTATGATAAAAATATCATTTTCTTGGCTGTGGGAAAGTAGAAAACACTATCATTGAATCTCACATAAAGATACAACAAGATACATAACTGAAAAATTTGAGGAGCCTTTAAGATCATGTTCTAATAATCAAATATAATTGGAGTTACCATACGTAGAAAGTAGTCACTGATAGAAATAAGATTTGAAAGTGATTAAAGATTTTCCAAAATATAAAGATGTATTAACTCACAGAGTCAAAAATCTCAAACATTACAATCATAATAATCACAAAATTTAAACAGATATTAATGAAGAACAAGAAGAAAAGTATAAAATTACTGTGACAGCTGACATACTGAACGCTATCTTCTAAAGAGAACCTATAAAGCTTCAGTGTGATAGAAATGATGGAGCGTAAGTAAATGGACAACAAACATAAAGAATAAAAATGCCAGTTCTGCATCCAACAAAAGCATCCTTTCACAAAGTTAATTTCAGGAAAAACGGGAAACAATTTCTTATCAAAAGTTTACAAGGTAAGAGATAAAAATCTGCCTAAGAAAACATAAAGATAGAATGAAGTACACAAAGAAAAAAAGTGAATATGTGACCAAGTATAAATGAGTATTGATAATACAAACAAAAACTTTCATGCTTTGTTTAAGATAAATTCATGTGGAACTAAAATTCATGACAATTATATGGAATATGAGAGCAAATAGTATAAAACAAAATTCCAGTGGAAGGAGTGTATAGTAAAATTAATAACTTGCTTTAAGCAATCACAAACCAAAGATTAAATCTTTAGATTGACTAATAAAAGGAGAAGAAAATACAACTCACAAAATAACAGAGAAAAAGATTAGCTATCAACATGTGGTAAGCATCACCTAATTCCCCAAGTGCTGTCCTGGGGTAACAAGTCAGCGCAAAGACAGGGGCTTCTGTCTCTTCCTGAGCTGGAACACCCATTTTCCTTGCCTTTAAACATCAGAGCTCCTGCTTTTTGTGTCTTTAGTTTCCAGCACCTGCACTGGCCATTCACGAAAGTACTCATTTGCTTGGGCATTGGCCACCTATGCGGGAGATCATGATAGAATTTTTGGCTTCTGGCTTCAGCCTGGACCAATCCCAGCTGTTGTAGCCATTTGAGAGAATGAACCCATGGATGAATGAACCCATGGATGATGCTGTGGCATTTAAGATAGGAAATCCAGCTGTGGCGAAGCTGGTTAACGCCCTGGCCTGGGGCGCCGGCATCCCATATGGGTGCTGGTTCGAGACCCAGCTGTTCCACTTCTGATCCAGCTCTCTGCTATGACCTGGGAATGCAGTAGAGGATGGCCCAGGTCCTTGGGCCCCTGCACCGGGGTGGGAGACCCAGAGGAAGCTCCTGGATCCTGGCTTCAGATCAGTGCAACTCCGGCCATTGTGGCCAATTAGGGAGTGAACCATCAGATGGAAGACCTCTCTCTTTCTGTCTCTCCTGTCTCTGTAACTCTGACTTTCAAATAAATAAATAAATCTTAAAAAAAAAAAGAAAAATTTCAGTCTCTTCCTCTCTCCATAGCTCTGCCTTTCAAATGAATAAATAAATCTTTAAAACATTTTTAAAGTCTAACTCTTCTACAAAATGGTTGTACTTTCCATAGGTGAAAATTTCATTCTTGCCAGCACTTGATATGGTTGTCTTTAACAAATAGATCTTTTACTAGATAGGTGATGAGTTTTCATTGTGCTTTAATTTACAATTCTCTAATATGTAACTATATTGAGTATTTTTTTAAGATTTATTTATTCATTTGAAAGTCAGAATTACAGAGAGAGAGAAAGAGGCCTTCTAATTGCTTGTTCACTCTTCCAAATGGCTACAACAAAATGGCTGCAACAGCCAGGGCTGGACCAGGCCAAAGCCAAGAGCTTCCAAGCACGTAGGTCATCTTTTTCTGCTTTTCCTATGCCGTTAGCATGGAGCTGATCAGAAGGGGAGAAGCTGAACATGAACCAGCACCCACATGGGATGCCAGTGTCACAGGTAGCAACTTTACTCAATTTGCCATAATGTAGGTCCCTATGTTGAGTATTTTTATGTACTTATTTGCTAAACATATGTTTTCTGTTGTGATGTGCCCATTCAACTATTGTGTTTATTATTTTATAACCTGTATCCAGGATCTAAATCATTAATCACATATGTGAAATACAAGCATATTCTTCATATATGTGGTGTTGTCTTTCAAAATACAGGTCCTTAATTCTAATAAGGTCCAATTCAACCAATATTGTATATTATGGATTTCACTTTTGATGGAATATGAAAAACGTCTTTGCTTGATTCAGGGATGTAAACATTTTCTCCTACATTTTCTTTGAGTGTTTCCATCTTTAGATTTTGTCTTTAGTTCTATTAGCCATTTTGAGTTAGTTTTTGTAACTGATGGAAAGAATTTATTTTTGCAAATAGATATCAAACAGCATGCAGTTAATTGCCTTTGACTTCTGTTGATCATAGATTGACCAAATATATGTGAGTCTTTTCTTATATTTTCTTTTCTGTTTCATATATATTTATGCTAATAGGAAAGTAAGTATTTAAAAATTAGAGCAGGGTGGAGAGTATTTAGCTTAGTAGCTAAGACACTGGTTAAGATGCCCACGTCCCAGTTTTGGAGTACCCAGCTCCAGCTCCTGATTCTAAGCTTCCTGTTAATGCAGACACTTTGAGGCAGCAGAACTGAACCATGCATGAGACCTACATTGAAATCCCATGCCCTTGCATCAGTTCAGCCCAATTCTGGCCATGTAGATGGGGTAGATGAGAGTTTCTCTCACCCTTTCTCTGTGTGTCTTGCTCTGCTTCTCAAATAAATATATTTTTTAATTAGAGCAGAGAACAAAATAAAAATTAAAAAATAAGAACACTTAAAAGCATATTATTTCTTTTAAAATAGTATTGAATGATTAAGCACCCCCAAGAACAGTGAAAACACAAAGATCCAAAGTAACTACAAAATAAGACATAGCATAGAAGATCCCACAGATATTAGAAAGATACTAAGGACATGTTACAACAATTCTATATCACACCTTTGATAGTGGAGATAATATTTACAAATAGCTTTTAAGATAGGAAATCCTGATAGCTCCTTATGTAGTAGAGAATGTGAATTCATAATTTAAAACCTTTCCACAAAGAGGTCTAGGTCCACTTACACTGTGACACTCTGAATGCAAACACTTTAAGAAATAATAATGTTACACAAAATCTATCAGGAAGAAGATGAGTTTTGAGCAGGTGTGTAATTGAGGTCCCATCTACTGCACCATGGAATATGTTGTTGTGCTTGTGGCAAGGCTGTTTCCCTTGGGTTTTTCTGAACCCAAGCCTGAGCATGCAGGGTTCTAAGGGTGACTCGTTGCTAGGAGACTCTCAAAGTCCCTGTGAGTGACTGGCTGGAGGACTCCCCAGTGGCCTTGCTAAGTTCCATCAGAACTTCACTGGAGTCTAAGCAGCTTCCAGTCAACCTTGCTTTCCTCTTCCACTCCCTCCTCATTCAGATTCACACAGGCAGTGCAATCTGAGGGCTCTGTAAGCCCCTCCCAGGTCCTTCAGCATTTCCTCTCACAGGTGTTTCCTCTCATAAACTGCTGTGTGTCTGCTCCCTTCTGCTTCCTGCTGCAGAGAGAAATGCTTGGAGTAAAATGAGTGCTCGAGGAGCCATCTGAGGAAGCAGGTGTGTCTGTGCAGACATAACTGTCTCATCATTGCCAGCTGCCAAAGAGGATATCACCCTGTCTGGTGAGTAGGGCACAGACAGTCCACAGAACACTTTGGTGATTTCACTGCTGACAAACTCGGAAAATGTCACTATGGTAGGGGTGCTGTGGCAGATGAATGATTTTGTACTTGAAAAGTGGTGGCAGAAACACGTATGCAAGAACAGGGTAGTTATTGCTAAGTAGTGCTTAGTCAGAAAGACAACCAGGGAGAGTTGAAGGCTGCTGAAAGCAATAACAGATAAGTCGCAAGCCGCAGAACATTGGTAGCAACACATCTGGAGCTCTTGCCTCCTATAAAGGATGCACAGAGACTTCACTGTGAATCTCTGAACACTGGCAGTATTTGATCACTCACTCAAGATCTGTGTTAGAAATAAATCATGGCACTTTTGGAGAGAAGTTGAGACTGTGGCACTTGGGACAGGAACATTTGTATGGATGGTCTCTGCTACTCTCCTGTGCAATGCTAGGTAATGCAGAAGTGGCCCACACTCAGCTAGTAGGAGCTAGCACATCACTACAGAAGCCCCTGGATGGCAAAGCAATGAGTACTCCCTCAACATCTGCCATCATCTGTGCTCCTGGATATATGGCCAAACAGCAGGGCTACGTCCCAGCGTTGCCTGGATGGAGCTTGCTGAAGCAGCTGGTAGGGATAGAGGAGATTCTCCACCTATGCTGACATTCATTTCAGGAGCCAGAAAGAATGTCTGGGACAGATCTTGAGGGTGCCTATCAAAGAGGCCTGGAAGTGTGAGGATTCATTAACCTTGGAGTCCTTAACTGGGATACGGGCTCTATCATTATAGCAAGGATGTTGTGGGGTGGGAAAACTCATGGCTAAGGTAGCCCTTTGAAGCCTCAAAGTAATAGCCAATCCTCAGCAAAGAGGAACATCTGAATACCCCTCTTAGATAGCAGAAACTGAGGATGGAAGCACACTGGGTGTTAAGATGATGTACCAGAATGATGTTTCACAGGAGGTCCAGAGGATACACCATTCACCAAGGCCATCGGCCAATGTACTGGTGAGAGGGGCACCAGCTTCACTACGAAGTTTGGTGATAGCTGTCCTTTAGGTCAATGACAAAGGCAGGCAACTGCACAGGGCTGAGCTCATTAATATCCAGTAGGCTCCAAAATAAAGAAGCTTGTCTAAGAGTTCAGCTACCAGAAGCCAAGAGGTCACAATATCCATAATAGCTGGAAAGTTTGTGGTTACAGATGAAAAGGGTTGATCTGCAGGAAGCAGGTTGATTAGTAGACTCACTAGGAACAAAATAGCCAGTTAGCCAATAAGGCTGCTAGATGATACCTACAATGAGACAAAGAGAAAGAATGAAGGAACAAAATAAAATTTTCACATTGGGGAAATCTATGAATGGAGAAGTAACCAGATCCATTTGTATTAGTTTGCCGGACACTTGTATGTATAGACATGTTTGTTTATTTCATAACCTAATATTAACTGGCTTGAACAGAATAAATGTATCATTTCATAGTTCTGGAAACTGGAAATCCAAAATTGGGGTATGGTAAGATTGGTTTCTTTTGAAGAATGGAACCTTGAGAGGAAAGATCTGTTCCAGGCTCCTGTCCTTGCCTTATGGATGGGTCTGTGTGTTTGTGTGTCTTTGTCCAAACGCTCCTTTGTGGTAAGGGCATCCAAAATGTAGTGGTATGGTGCACCCTCATTGTAACATGATTACCCCTGCACTTTATCTCAAAATAAGATCACATCTGTCATAATGGGAGTGTGGACTTCAACACAAAATTTGGAGAAACACAATTTAACCCATCACAATTTCATAGAACTTTGCATTTCCAGGATAGGTACATGCCATGATGAGGGTGCTAGGGACAAAAATGAGAAGACTTGAGGTCTTAACAAAGTGCACCTATTCTGAAGAAAGGGTCATAAGCAGAAATTTTCAGGACACATGGCCTGAATTCATGTAGACACCCAGAAAATCAGAATATCATCACAGCCTCTAAGTAACACATAGTGGTCTGGCTCGAGGCTGATTCATGCAGGCCCACTGTATCCATTGACTCAGGAGTAATAATTCCTCCAGTCGCCCAGTATGCAGCTGGAACTAAAGGATGTGCCAGGTTTGCTCTCGTGTCCCTGGCTTTCTGGAGCAAGGGCTACCACAGAGGTTATGAAAGTCTCAGAATCTACACTTAGTCCCAAGCTTCTGAGCTAAGGAAGACACACAGAAATATACAGATATTGGGAGAGAGGGCATTGGAGATCAATGACACAGAGACCCAGAGGATGCAGGGACAGTGTCTGCTCTCACACCTCTGTTTAACTCAATTGTCTTTCTCATGCAGAAGCAAGAAGGTTCCTTTAAAAGTTGTAGAGCAGGAATTGTAAAAAAATTTCCATAAGGGCCAGTTAATAAATATTTGAGGCTTTGTTGGCTATTTATGGACTTGGTGATATATTCTTTTTCTTTTTTGTTTTATATAATACTTTAAAAAGGTGAAAAATATGTCTAGTTTCTGGCTAAGAATATAAGGAGCTTTGAAGTGTTACTCCATACACACAGAAAAACAAAACAAAACAAACTTGAAGTAAAAGTAAGTAAAGTTCTCACACCTCATAGAACTGGTCATGTGGTTGAAAAGGCATAGCCTTCAAAATTGGAGATAAACAAGAGTTACAGAGCATCACAAATTATTGGGGCAGAAATTCACAAGTAGAAGCCTCTATGGGAAACAGTGCTGGGGTAGGAAACCCTAAACTGTACTGGAACATTGCTGGAGGTTCAATATGGATGTATGAGAGTTAAAAACTCCAGAGTTTTGGGGGTGGCACTGAGGCATAACGAGTTAAGAACAACTTGCAACACTGGTGTCCATATTGGAGTGCTAGTTCAAGTCCCAGCTTCCCATCAAGCTTCCTGCCAGTACACCTGTCAAGGCAGCAGATGATTGCCCCAGTCCATGGGTTCTTGCCACCCATGCGGAATACCTAGATGGAATCTCTGGCTGTTGATTACAGCCTGACTCAGTCCTGGCTTCTGTGGCCTTTTGAGGAGTGACTCAGTGTATGGAAAATCTCCTTCTCACTCTGCTTTTCTGTTTTTCTTCTCTCTTTGCTCTTCCTCTCAAATACATAAATCTTAAAGACAAAAAAAGAGAAAAAACTCAAGGTTTTCACTCTTCAGATACCTTTACACTCTGTGAGATTTACCTCTAAGCCACCTATAAGTTTCTTCTAGCGGAGATCAGAGAAGAAAAATCTTTGTGCTTCTATTTAGCTCACAGTTTTGAAGATTGGAAGTGCAACACTGGGCAGCTGCATCCGTTTGGCCTCTGATAGGGACCCTCTTTGTTGCATCATGTAACACTGGATGGCATAATGGTGGGAGTGCTTGTCTTGAGGAAGCCAGAGAGTCAGGGTCAGCTCAGTCTTTTATCATAATTCACGCTTGTTGGAATTTACATGGAGATCCCATGAAAACTGCCTTAGTCCACCCAAGAGCTGTGCCTCAGAGATGTGTTGACCTACCACTAAAGTTGCTCCACTTCATCACATGAATCCTTGGGGTACAAAACTCATTCAAACCACAGCACATCCAGGGCATTCTGTGTTTCTTATCAAGACTTATTTATAAAAGAAACTATTTCATCAGAGCAAAAGAAACAGGGGACTTCCCAGTTCCATCCCCTTTTAGCCTTAATGTCTCACCTATGGGAATAGAGGGAGGACTGAGAGGCCATGTGAAGGTCACAGTCCAAGGTCAAAGACTCAGTAAAAGACAGACCTAATCACAGGACGAAGGAAGGTTTTTCTCTCTCCTTCCCCTTCTTGCCCACCCTGTCAGTTGCGTTCTTGTATAATAACTGGATCACAACTGAGAGTATTGTCCTTCTCTGAACTTATTTAAGAAATTGCTAGGGAAACTCAAAAACGGTAAGTAGGCAAAAGTAAGAACACCTGAGGAAATTTTAGCTGCTGACACCTGCAGCTATGGCAAACAGTAAACACAGCCTAAATTCCAGCCACATGCATATAATTTCCAGTTTCAACAAAACTTCAGCACACACTATAAAACAAACCCAGTTGGAAGACACAGAGTACCAGGATCAGTCTCTTATATGGTGGGGATTTGGTCTTATCACATTGGATATCATTTATGTGCTAAGGGCCTAAACTGATAAAGCAGGCAACATACAATAATAGGCCTTGTGAGCACAGAGATGGAAACTCCAACAAAGGAGTGCAGGGAAATGTTGGAGATTAAAAAAAGCTGTGGTGATATAATTAAAAATGCCTTCCATTACAAAATATACAGAGAGCCCTTATGCTTAACACTAAGCATAAAACCAACCCAATTATAACGTGAGCCAAAGATATTGACAAATATTGCATCAAAGAAAAATATAGATGGTAAACAAACATATAAAAAGGTTTTAAAAGATAAAAAAAAAAAAAAAGGTTTAGGTCACATGAACCAAAAAAGGTATATTTAATTAAATTAGCAGTTTGAATTTGTGAGCAATATTTATCTAAAAGCCAATAAAACAGAGCTCTTAATAAATTTTCCCATGAAGACATACAATATGTATACACACATAACATACAAGGTAGAAAAATAAAGCAGTTTCAGTAATAGCTTCTGAATATCTTTAGCTGTTTTATCTTAAAAAATATTACCCTCAATCTATTAGAATTACTTCCTGCAGTTAGTAATCTGAATTAATCTAAGTTGGAATCTTTAGTACATTATTGGCTTTATCTGCTTGCAGAACTGTCCCAAGTATTGTATACAATAGAGTCAGGGGAAAAGAGGGTCCTTTGGAACCTAAAAGAGGACATGTTTAAACACGGAACCAACAAGGTTTTAACTCCATGAGCAGTATATCTGATTTTTAGTGTTTGGAGAATACAAAATTGTGGGTGACAAAAGGCTTCAAATAGCCATCTTTAAAGTTAAAAACTCATTAACCAACAAGACAAGACACTTCCTACTCCACACAATATTTTTAGAAGCATCTGTAGGATTTTACATAATAGGCCAGTCTATTACATTGGTTTTCAATGTGGAAATCCAGGGTTTCAACAGAAGTCAGTTTATGAAGAGCCCCAGCAACTCTGCTAGCCAAGAGTTGGGTCACTAGAAACAGAACTGACCTGGAGTTGAAGGACTCTCAGGTCAGAGCCACAGACCTTGTTGGCTTTAAGCTGAAAAGCCCATCACTGGGCCCAGCCTCCAAAAGCAACCACTGATATTGAGGGGATGGCCAAATACGGTCAGTAACATTGCAGGCAGAACTGTAAATGTCCTATAAGAGATGCCACCTGCCTTCACATGGTAAGCTTCCCTCTAGGCCAGCTGGGTAATAGAAGTCAACATTTTCTAAGGAAGTTCATATCTCCCTTATGATGTACCGCATGTGAAGAGACAGATAAGCCTGGACCTCATACCTGGCCAGACCTTAAAGCCAACCTCATTCATATAAAGCCCCCTTCTGTCAGTTTCTATTTGCCTCTAAATGGGAAAAGTTGCTCATGGTCTAGTCAGCACCTTTTTTAGGTCCTCTGATGACTCTGTCCTTCATTTTAAACCCTGTGAGTTTAAACTCCTTGTTCATTTTCTCTAGACTTGAAACTGAAATTCTGGATGGCCATGCACATGAAACCTTGGATGGAAGCAGTTTCTGCAAGCTGGCACTGCATCCCCCTGGAGAAGTCACCTCCTGCTGAGAAGCCGCCTGCTGCATGAACCCTGTCTTGACTCCATTTCCAATAAGGCCCCTTTTTAGCATGAAGCAGCCAGAGCAGTCATCTCCCAGTTCCCCTAACAGAAGTTATGGTTCATTCTTTGGGGCGGGGGGAGGGAATGTGAGGAGTCAGATGAGTTAATAGGCAGTCAGTGGAAAGTGAGTGTGGAAAATGTTCTCTCCAAAAGTTATCTTTAGCAGGGTCAGAAGTACCTGCCTGCCTGCCTGCCAACTCTTTGGGAGCTTCCAGTCTTATCGTCAGCAAGTAGTGGTGACTCCACCCTTCTGAGCTCCCAGTTTACTGTAAAACAAATTAGGTATCCTGCCCTTGTGATGGCTCTTTTGGTTTATGAGCAAACCAGACAGCGTAAAAGATTGCAAATTAGGTCTTTTGGTGGGTTTTGTCCCCAGCTTGTAACTGAATGTCAATCCGACTGTCAAATTTTTTGTCTTTCATTTATTTATTTATTTATTTATTTATTCAAAATTGTGCTTAAGAACCCCAGAGCCACACAGCCCTTCAGGTTTTGCCTCTCTTGGAAGCCCCCTCCATGCCACTCTGGATTGGTCTCTGACTCTAATAAATCTTGCTTTTAAATCTTAAAAAAAAGGTTTACACCATCATCTATCATCAGGGAAGCACAAACAAAATGAAGAATGAAAGATGATATTACACAACTATTAGAGCAACCCAAATCCAGAACACCAACAACAGCAACAGAAACTCTCATTCATTGCTGGCTAGAATTAAACATCATACAGACAAGTTGGAATAATTTGAGGTAAATACACTCTTACCAGATGATTCAGTAATCATGCTCCTTTGTGTTTGCTGCAAAGAGTAGAAAAGGTATATCCAAACAAAAGTTAGCACTTGGATGCTTACAATAGCATTATTTAGAATCCCTGTAATTGAAAACAACCACAATATTCTAAAGCAAGTGAGGGGATAACTAAACTGTAGCATACATAGACAATGGAATATTATTCAAAAAGAACAGTAAATGAGCTACCAAGCCATGGAGAGGCATAGAGGAAACCTTTTAAGAGTTTTTTATTTGGAAGAGAGAAATAGAGAGCAAGTTCCCATCTGCTGGTTCACTCCCCAGTTGTCTGCAATGGCTTTGAGCCAGGCCAGGAGCTGAAACTAGAAAATGGCAATTCATCCAAGTCTCTCACGTGAGTGATGACAACCTGAGCACTGGAGCATCAACATTAATTCCAAAGCTATGCATTAGCAGGAAATTAGAGGCAGGAACAGAATCAGGTACTGAGCCTAGGTACTCTAATATGGCACATAGGTGGCATGGAAGAATCTTAAATTCATACATGTATTATTATTAAGTGAAAGAAGGCAATTTCAAAGACATATACTTTATGTACATTTTTTCTATAAAAATAAAAGCTTAGGACACAGAAAAAACATCAATGGCTGTCAGGGATTAGAGATGAGAGAGGTTTAATAGGTGGAAAACAGGATTTTTAGGACAGTGAAACCATTCTGTATGAGGTACTAGTTGAGACACATCATTGTACATTTGTCAAACACAAAACACAATATGCATTGTACTTTGTACAATATGTACAATATGCATACAGTACGCATCACTAAAGTATACTCTAATCTAAATGATAAGGTTTCATTAATAATCTATCAATATTATCTCATAGAATGCAATAAATATACCACACTGATGCAACATGTTAATAAGTGGGAAAATTTGCGGGATTCCAGAGTATATTGAAATTCTTAGTATTTTGTATTCATTTTTATGTAAACTTAATATACCTTTAAAAAACCAAACTCTGTTAATTAAAAAATATAAAAGCCATTTGTTTTGTTCACAGCTTTTCTAAGCAGGTGGTAGGCCACATTTGGTCTTTCTATAGATTCTGGCTGACTTCACCAGAGAGACTTTTGTGCCAGATGGAGTCTCCTTGCTGGAGTACTTTGATAAGGTCAGGTACGTGGTCCATGGCCATTAATTTGGCAAGGGTTCCCTTTCCTGTTCTCTGATTAACAGCAGTTTTTATTCATGTGGGATGAACACTGTTACTGTCAATTGAACTCAAGGTTCTGTTTACTCTTCTACCTCATCATAATACAGGGAGAAGAGTTGGGCCATCTGGCCATCCCAAAGGACATCTCTCAAACCCATTACATTGACAGCATCCTGATGCTGGATGATGAGCAAGGAACTGAATGTTGCACTGGTGGCCCTAGAAAAGCAGCACGGACTGACACTGGCTGCACAGGGAGAGGTACAGCACACACCTGAGATCCTGGAAAGACCACAATCAGAGCATCAAGGCCTCTGAAACACATCTCTGGGGGAGTTCTTGGGAAATAGGTCACATGACCACATGATGCAGTGTACCCGTTCAGCTAGAATTGCACAAGGTCCTGTCAAACTTGGTGAACAGCTATGAGGTCCATGAGGAACATGGCACATCCCAGATGGACAACAGTAGAGGACACACATATATGGCATAAGCAGAGACTCCAGGCCCCTTTCCCCAGTTCCACTACCCAGCTCACACCTGTGGTATACAAAGGTCGGGTTCTCATAGAGTTGACCAAAAGAGAAGGAAAGCTCCCTGTACTTACTGCAGATGGACTGACTTGTGTGGGGGTGTAAACTGATAGATATGGAAGGGATGCTTTACAGTGACATGCAGAGGTGACCCTGAAAGACAGCAAGACAGGAGTCTTCTCTTGGGCAGAGCTGTGAGAAGAGTGTCTGTTCAGCCTCTCCTATGGAAAAAAGTGTCAGAGGTGGGACTCTATGGAGATTTCTTGGCAGTAGCCAATTACTTGACCATCTTATTGGGTCTAGAAGGAAAACTTGTGTGGAATTCAGATTTCTCCTCAAAGCAGTAAATGCCAGCTACAACCAGCTCTCTCCCATTTTATATTGTATACATTTTTCATAATAAACTTATCTTATGTTTGAAATTGTCTTGGCTTCTGCTTCTCAGAGATCCTGGATTAACTAAAACAGCAAAAACAACACATCTCCACGTGGTTTACTGAAGTCATCAAAGTCTGGATACCAACCCCTAACAGGAGCAGAATAAAAACGCACAAGGATTAAATATCACCAAAAAGATGTTGTCAAATCTTTAAGCCATATGATATTTAACATTGACACACAAAGAAATTTCACCCTAAACTTGTGAAGAAGACAAAAATTCCAACACTCACTGTTTCTATTTACTACAGTACTTGTTGTTACTGAAAATGCAATAAGGCAGAACAAGCATGAAGTAATAGGATTGGGAGGGATTGTAAAATAAAAGTCTACTAGTAGGAGACATGACTGTCTACATAGAAAATCTATATGAATTGATAAAAATTAGAATAGTAAGTCAATTTAGGGGCAGGCACTGTGGCATAGTGTGTAAAGCCACCACCTGTAGTGTCGGCATCCCATATGGGTGCCGGTTCAAGTCCTGGCTGCTCTAATTCCAATCCAGCTCTCTATTATGGCCTGGGAAAGCAATAGAAGACGGCCCAAGTCCTTGGGCCCCTGAACCCACATGGGAGACCTGGAAGAGACTCCTGGCTCCTGGCTTCAGATTGGCCTAGCTCTGGCCTTTGCAGCCATCTGGGGAGTGAACCAGTGGATGGAAGACCTCTCTCTCTCCCTCTCTCTGACTCTGACTCTCTGTAACTCTGCCTTTCAAATAAATAAATGAATCTAAAAAAAAAAAAAAACAAAAACTCCTAAGTAATTTTAATCTACTATAGCATATCAACATACAGAACTCAGTTGTATTTATAGGCTATGGAATAGGACTTGAGAAAATAATTTTTAAATTACCATTTACAATATCATGAAAAATACACTAATTAGACATTAACAAGATTTTGTGATATAGTTATACTGAAAACATTGGTGAAAAGGATCAAAGTGAAAATGGTTAGGTATATATCTTTTTCATAGATTGGAAGAATCATTATTGTTAAACTGTCTAGTGTCCCAGAATTGATTTTAAAATCAATGGAACCACAATCAAAATCCACAGGGTTTTTTTATTTTTTTGGTGAAAGTTCACAATGTGTCTTACAATTTGTATAGTAATGAGGGTAATTAGAAGGGATCCCTAAAATTAATCTTGAAGGACAGAATTGAGTTTGAGGACTTATACCTACTTATTTCGAGAAAGCCCTAAAGCTACAATAATCAAGAGCTGCAGCACAGATATAAATACAGACATATTTCTCAATGAAGTATCTGTACAGTCCAAAAAGAGACCTGAATATATATTGTCTATTGGCTTTTCTCAAAATGGTCAAACTAATTCATAAGGAAAAAGATTATCTTCTTAATAATTCCTTATAAACACTCCATTGTCATATGACCTGTTTATTCTACACAGGGGTATTTATCCAAGATAAATGAAAGCATATGTTCACAGAAAGGTTGGTGCATGCCAGTGTATGCATAAAAACCAAAGGTTAGAATTACTCCCATGCTCATATCTGTGTTTGCAAGTCAATCAACACAAAGTGGCTATCCTGTCATGAACTGCTGTTAAGCAAGGAGAAGTAACAGAACACTGAAATGCATGACCGGAAGACTCTAAAATTTTATGCTGCTTCAAGGAAGCCAGGCTCAGCAGATTACATATCAAATTGTACCAGATATGTAATGTCTACAGCATGCAAATTAATGCATAACCACTGAGGTTAGGGCAGTGGATCCTGGGGTTAGACATGGGTGACATTTACTGACAGACACAAGAGAAGCCTTTAGAATCATGGCAGGATTTATTTTCTTGGAGATGGGCACCCTGGGTTCTAGTCCCGGTAAGGGTGCCGGATTCTGTCCCAGCTGCTCCTCTTCAAGTCCAGCTCTCTGCTGTGGCCCGGGAAGGCAGTGGAGGATGGCCCAAGTGCTTGGGCCCTGCACCCACATGGGAGACCAGGAGGAAGCACCTGGCTCCTGGCTCCTGGCTCCTGGCTTTGGATCGGTGCAGCACTGGCTGTAGCGGCCATCTGGGGAGTGAACCAATGGAAGGAAGACCTTTCTCTCTGTATCTCCCTCACTGTCTCACTCTGCCTGTCAAAAAAAAAAAAAAAGTAATCTGTATTGTCTTAATGGAGATGTGGTTCAAGAATGTACATATTTTTCCAAATTAAAGGAACTTTACTTATTTTAATTTTGTTGTGTGCAAATTTCTTTTTTATTTAAGGTATATAAATTTCATAAATAGATTTAGGAGCACAGTGATAATTATTACCGTCATAGTCTCCCTCCCACCCATGCTTCCATGCTTCCCTCCCCTTTCTTTCTTCCTCCCACCCATGCTTCCCTCCCCTTTCTTTCTTATTTCCTCTGCTAATTTTTACAATGATCTGTGTAAAGGTGAGCACATATGCCCAACAAGTCCTTGTGCTAAACAATTAGACTAAATAGAATTCAAGAGTCTCCTAATGGAGAATTTCAAATGCCCAGAATACAGTAAAGTATCACTGCCATCCCTGAAACTAAGAGACAGCAGCAGGAACAGAAGACAGTCACTACATAACCACAGAGATGGGTGAAATAATCTGGTAAGACAGCCATGGAACAAACAGCACAATGGAGGAAAGAGAAGGCTTGCTAGCAAGTGCTACTGGGTTTCTGTACTGAATAAGTGAGCTTTGTACTGTACAGAAAGATTAACTCAAAATGAATCATAACCACTGATGTAAATGCTGACACTATAAAACTAAGAGGAAAAAAAGTAAGAGTAAATTTTTGAAACTTTAGGTATGATATCAAAACACACACAAAAAAAGAACTTTTAGGTTTTGGGGTGGGTGTCGTGGTGCTGTGGGTCAAGCTGCTGCTTGAAACACCAGTATCCCACACCGGAGTGCTAGTTTGAGTCCTGGCTCTATTTGGATCCAACTCCCTGCTGGAAAGCAGCAGATGATGGCTCAAGTACTTTGGTTCCTGCCACCCATGTGGGAGACTCAGCTAGTGTTCCAGAATCCCGGCTTCAGTTTGGCCCAGGCCATGCCATTATAGCCATTTGGGGAGTGGACCAGCAGATGGAAGATTTCTTTCTCTCTCATTTTCTCTCTGTCACTCTGCCTTTCAAATGGATAAATCAGTAAATCTTTTGTAAAAGGAAATGAACCAATGTTGACTTGCAAAGAGTAAAATCAACAAATTGAAAAAATAATACATAAGAGAAAATAATTTCAAAACATGTATTTTAAAAGGGACTTGTATTCAGAATCCCCTCAATAAATAATTCTTTCAGCTCATTCATGTAAATAAAGTACAACTGAAACAGGTAAAAGATGTGAATAAACATTTCTCAAAAATATTTACCAAATGATCACTAAATATATGAAGTTACTCAATACAATTAGTTATTAAAGAAATGCAAATATAAACCCCAGTGATATACTGCATTATTCCAAGTAAGATAGCTAAAATCAACAGTCAACAATGATGAGGAGGTTGAGAAATGGAACCTCATCCATTGCTGTGTGACTTCCCTGGCTGCAAGCTACAAAAGCTCAGGAAACACATGCTTCAGAGAAGTAACCCCATAAAGTTAGAAAATACATACTGAATAATCATAGACAGCAAAAAGAGAAACACAAATCCTGGAGAGGTGTTTTGCTTCCCAGAGTTGAAAGATTATATTATTTAAAGTGTCCATGTTTGACACAAAATATTATTCAATTCCAATGTTCAGAACAGGAGAAAGAGAGTAGATTAGTGGCTGTCTGGGCTTGAACAAGGGTGGTAGAGGATAAGGGGAATGTTAATGTCCCTTAATGGAACAGCATTTTTTTAGAGTTACGAAAAGTGGTGCTTAATTTTAAAGATTTATTTATTTGAGAGTCAGAGTTAGAGAGAGGGAGAGACAGACAGAGACAGACAGACATCTGCTAGTTCACTCTCCAACTGGCCACAATGGCTGGAGCTGGGCTGATGCAAAGCCAGGAGCCAGAAGCTTCTTCTGGGTCTTCCACATGGGTGCAGGGGCCTAAGCACTTGGTCAGTCTTCTACTGCTTTCCCAGGCTCATTAGAAGAGAGCTGGATTGGAAGACGAGCACCTGGGACACGGACTGGAGCCCATATGGGATGTCAGCAACACAAGCGTAGGTTTAACCTGCTACACCACCCCACCTGCCCCCCAAAATGTTTTAATATTAGATTGTGATAATAGTTGCACAGCTCCAATATATATAGTATAGTAAATAGTATAGTAAACTAATTTGTCTATTTGAAATGAGGAGACTTGAGGATCTGGGAATTAGACTTGAATAAAGCTGTAAAAAAACACAAATAGAAATTATAGAACTGAAAAATCCAATAATTAAAATGCAAATCTCATTGCATTGTCTCAAGAGTAAAGTGGATATTTCAAAAGATAGAATCAGTAAATACAAGTACAAATCAATTTATCTAATCTGATCAAGAGAAAGTAGTTTTCTTAAAAAGAAAATTGTTTTTAAAAAAACTGTTGAAATCTTTACTTAATGTATGCTAAACTGATCTTCTGTATATAAAGAGAATCGAAAATGAATCTTGATGTGAATGGAAGGGGAAAGGGAGTGGGAAAGGGGAGGGTTGCGGGTGGGAGGGACGTTATGGGGCGGGGGGGATCCATTGTAATCCATAAGCTGTACTTTGGAAATTTATATGCATTAAATAAAAGTTAAAAAAACTGTTTTCTGAGACTTTTGGGACAACAGCAACAGAGCTAATTTGACATCATTGGTCTAACAGAAGGAGAAGAGAGAGTTGTTAAAAGTATTTGAAGAAATAATGATGGAAAATTCCAGAGTTTGATGAAAAACCTACCTACAAATGCATGAAGACAACTAAACCCCAAATACACACAAAGAATTCACACTAACACATATCATAACTAAACTTCAGAAAGC